TTCCTCAGCCATGCCCAGCAAGGGCAGGCAGAGAGGGAAAGATGCAGGTTGGGGCTGTGAAGACGCTCCTGACCTTGTGACCACAGTGCAGCATGACCCTGTTCCCCTGCACCTCTCCAGCCTGCCTGCCCACAGAATGTGTGGCTCACAGGAGGGATAGTTTACAAGTGACCATCCCTTTTCAAGTGGAGTCTGAGCTGCCCTGTCTGGACTTGGAGCAGGAGAACAGAGCAGCCACAATGTTTAGATGTTCAAAGGGTCTTGCTCACGTTTTGTATGCAGAATGCTACTGTCACAGAAACTAGCTTGGATCTCAACCTGAGCAGCCAAGATAGAAGCTTCTGCAGAGAATTTATCTGTCATGGAAAACTACAAGGAAAAATGGTCAGGAAAACAGGAACATAGCTTAAGTTCCACACTTACATGTGGAGTGTTCTCCCTGCTCTGGATTTCTCCAGCCAAGTGTCAGCACTCACAAATCTATGTTTCTTTTTCCAGAAGATTGATATGTCTCTGTTATGTGCTAGTGACAATGTTTGCAGTTGGAGAGATGAGTGTGTGCATGGAGCAGAAAGGATTTCAGACAGAAAGAGAAGCAGCTGATCAGAATACTTGTGTGGGCTTGAGGGGAGCTTTTGGAGGAAAGTTTACAACGTTTCTCCTTGATCAAGTGGTTGGAAGCTGCTGCCATCAATGCTGCTGACTCAGATGTCTCCAACTTGTGAGGTTCGTGCCGCTTATGAGGGGACAAAGCAACACTTGATTAGAAACCCCAAGAGCTTTGTTACAGCACTGCACTAGAGCAGTCATGGCATGCCTCTGGTAGGTCTTGCATCCTTCTGCACAGCTGTTGCAGGGTGTTATACAGCTGAGACATTTGCTGTTACGAGTCTCTCCAAACACTAGTGTGGACAGCTGTAGGGGAAGAAATAATCACCCTTTCACAGTTGTCAGAGGAAGCAACCACATGTGTGGGATGTTGACAGCAGTGTTTTTGCTGCTGACAAGTTATCAGGGCAGTGGACCATGCTGCACCAGAGTTACCGTTCCTCAGTCTAGACTAGGCTTGGTCTTTAGATGTAAGTGATCTCACCTCTTCACAGCCAGGGAATGCTGCATCCTGCAGATCTGCTGGTAAAATGGATGAAGGTAACTGCACTCTTTGCACTTCACATAAGCAGGAGCAGAACTGGGGAGAGAAGAGTGGCTCTAGTTCCAGGTTAGCTGTGCAGATGGCTGACTAAAATAGGATTTTCCCAGCCAGGGGAAAGAGACTGAGTGAAGCTAGAGGTGGTGTCTCCAACATTATCTACAGCATTTTTATCCTCAGCTGACTTACAAGGAACAGAAGTACCTAAGAGAGAAATGGGAGAGTGGTTCTCTAGCTCAAGAGTCTCAAAATGTTAAGGGCCATTCGCAGCAGTATCAGCTTGAGCATCTGGTGCATTAATTTAGTTCAGTTTGAATGTCTGTTAAAGCTCCAGAAGTATTTGATGTCCAGAGTCCAGCTGGGCCTCATCTACAACTTACTGGGGTGCACTTTTCTGTCCTTGGGTGTATCCCTGTGCAAGGGAGGTTGTGCTGCCTGAGTTGGCAGTGCCACTGTGAGGAAGCAATTTAAGAGAACTTGGCATATTTTTCATAAAATGCAAGTCCAGCAGCACAAAATGGGAAAAAGAGTCCTAGTGGGGACAAGGTGCACTATTCAGTCAGCCTGTTCCATTTGTCTCTTTGAAGGGTTTTCAGTAGTTCTGGTAAAACCTACCTCCTTCCACTGCCACAAGGAACATTTCTTAGCAGCCAGCTTTCAGTGTTTCAGCTGCACTTCAGAGTTTCAGTGTTGCTTTGTGCTTAGCTAGAGAGGTCAGCTGGAGCATGGCAAGCATCTTGCTTTGTGCTGAGCAAGCTGCCTCTCAGCATTCTTAACTCCTCTGTGGTACCTGAGGGGAAGACCTAGACCTGAAAGATTGAGCTCCTGTCTCTCCATAGGACAGTTAACACTTGTCCAGTAATTGACCAAACAGCACTTCAGGGAGTCTCTGCTAGAGAAGAAGGCAGTTTGCCAGAGACAAATGAAGTGGTAGGACTGGACAGTAATTCCCCTCTTTCCATTTCCAGCTGTCCCCAGAAAATGCCTATGAGGTGCTGTGCGTGGCAGACATGTACCTGCTGCCTGGGCTCAAGCGCCTTTGTGGCAGAACGTTGGCCCAGATCCTTGATGAGGACAACATTGTCAGCATCTGGAGGATTGCAAAGCTGTTCCAGCTGACCCGGCTGGAGGACCAGTGCACAGAGTACATGGCAAAGATCATTGAGAAGGTAACAGAAATGCTTCCTGCTGCACTCACCACATTTGCCTGTAAATCTAACTGCACAGTGAGCCATGGATACTGCAGATTTAATGGTTGTACTTTGATCTGTAATAAATGGTTGCCCTCTCTGGTTTAATGTTCTTCCAGAAAATGAGCAGTGGCTCAGCAGCAAAGCACATGGTGAATTAGGACTGAGGTTGAGGTGTGTGGCAGTACCTACTGTCACTGCAGTAAGCCTGATGGTGGCTGTGTAGCACATCCCTGTGGACTGTGGGGTAAAAATCCTTCCCAAAAAGGTTTGAGTTGCCATGGATAGGTGACCTTCATGGAGCTTTCAGCCACTGTGTCCAGAGCAACAACGGTGCTAAATACACCAGGTACAGCCTGGAGAGCACAGTGGGGTGTGCAGGGGAGCTTTGTGCAGGAGGTGTTTTTCAGTCTTCACTGGAGGGAGTTCTTCCTGGCATAATGCTGTAGAAAGGAGTAATCAATGTGATCTCTGCTCCTCTCCACGCTGACAGGTCTAACAGTGGGAGTTTTCATAGGGGAAATTTGGCCATTAACAGTTAAAACTAATTAATCTAACACTGTAGTTTTCTTTATGGAGCTTCATTTAAGTGTCATCCTGAGTGATTATAGCTTGAAGTTTCAGAACTCAAGGAGAAAATTGCCATATGGAAGGATAAACTAGAATCTATGAGGGTGTTCTTATCCCAAGACACATCTTTATAAATGGCTTGTACAGTTCACATGGGAATGTTCCATTTTCACCTGCAGCTTGAAAGGTGTGAAATTCTTTTTGGCATGTGAAAACAGCAAAGGAAATTATTCTGGGGCTGTTGCTTGATTCAGTGTGTAGCTTGGGGATGACAGACACCTCAGCATGCACACGGATTCTGGCTTCTGAAAAATGGGTTTATTTTGAAAGCTGGATGAATATCCCAAGTAGTAATCAGGCAAGGAAAGGCTTTGCTTGTGTGTTCTCCTTGCATTCCACTTCCCTAGCCTGAGTGGGAGTCCTCAGACCAAGCACTGGCAGTGTGCTTCCTAAGGGTGTTGGCACAGATGGAACCACCCCAGCTGTTTGAAGATCAGCAGCTGCCAGCATCTTATGGGGATGCACTCATGATGGCTACAGGGAGAGATTTTGGCGGTGCATGCAGCACAGAGCAGGGCTCAGCAACCTGCTGTGCCCAGGCACAGTTTGGTAGCCTAGGCAGACAGAAGCTGCCTCTCACCCTTCAGCACACCACATGTTCCCGGGGAACTTGATACAAAATTATTCAAGGGCAACCTGATTCTGTCAGGTTGGGCTGAGAATAGAGCAGCTGCTTTGCTGTGATCTGCTGGTTGGCTGGTGGTGGTGGTGCTGAGAGCCATGGTGGGGATAGAATCATCTGTGCTTCCTGGTTCTGATCTGGGCTGCAAGCACCTGCTGTCTTACCTGTTGCAAGGCATTTCCCAAAAGTATCTGGCAGCATCTCCTGGTTCCTGCTGGAAGGAGCCTTTCTGGAGATAATGTTTTGTATATTAATGTGCCCCAGAGATATGGATCCTTAGTTAGTGGGTATTGCAGTGAGCTGTTTGAAGTGCAGCTGTGACCATTTGTTGTTGGAAGAGTACTGCCTCTGTAGGATGAATGACAGGATCTCCAAGTGGTGTCTGTAGGAAGATTTGGGTCTTCATGTACCCTTAGCACTCGCTTTTACTTCTGTAGGATCTCTCAACAGTGGCTGAGCCCACTGTTCCAACCCCTTTACATCCCTTTACCTGACTTGTCTTCCTAATGGTTCTCTTGTCCACCCCATCCAGCTGGTGGAGTTGGAGGAGTTTGTGGCTGCTGTGAAGGAGAACGCGGAAGCTGTGGAGGAGCGGCAGGAGACTGACTCCATCCCTCTGGTCGATGACATCCGCTTCCACATCACCAGCAATGTTCAGACTTACAGTGCCATTGAGGAAGCCAACCAGAAACTTGAAGCTCTGGAAAACCTCCTGGCCAGTATAGGGCTTGAGTGCTGATGTGTGCAAACCCTGCCTGTTGTATGCAGCCTGCGTTGGCTTGGAGTGCAAGAACATCCCAGTCTCTCAATGTTTCTCTCCTTCTTTGTCCTCCTTCCCATCCACTTTCAGGCATGATTTTGTTTTAATTTATTTGTATCTGAACATTTGCTGTCTGGTTTGTGTTTGGTTTTACTTTGCTTTTTGTTTTCCTTTCAGAAGTAGCTCTCAAAACTCAGCCCAGACAAGTAGCTGCTCCTTTGTACAACACAATACAGAGAGGAGACTGCAAGCTGTTGGGAGTGGAAAGGGAGCTATTCTGGGGACTTGTCATTGCCTGGTGTTAGGACCCATCCTATTCTGTTGCCCAACAACAACACACTCTGAAACTGGTTCGTGCCAGGATATTGTCTGAAATGTCAGCAGCAGAGGAGGAACTCTGGATTAAGTTTTCCAATAAGTATATTGGAATGGGGGTGTCCTTTCTTTCACTGTCAGCTTTATAAGATTGGTAAAACTGGTCAGTGCTTCCCTAACAGGGACACAGGAGTACTTGGCTGTGGAAGGCACTGTTGTCACCTGCTATTCTATTTCTTAGATGAAGGAAAAAAAAAAGTCCTTTCCAGGTCTTCCCTGGCTTTTTATTGCTTTGAAGTGCTCAGAACTTAAAAGCTTTCCTTTCTGAACAAACATCTTTGAGAATACAGTACAGGCCAGAGTCCTTCCATTCTTAGAAAGCAGTAGCTTTCAATGCATAAAAAAGGGAGAACACCCCTTTTCTTCCTAACAGAGGAAGAAAACACCTTCTTCTTGGAATCAGTACTTTTCCCTTTCTTTTTGTCCTCTGTGGTAGAGCAAAACTGACTTGCTGGTGGGTCAGGGAAGAGGAGTCACCAGAAATCTCTTTTTAAAAAAAAAAAGGAAAGGGGGGTTTTTGGGTCTTACACAGGGCAGTTGTCCCACTCATTGACCTTCTGGCTTTGCTTAGCCTCCAGCCTCATAGCTTCATTGTTCTCCAGGAAATTCACTGTTTGTACTAATGAATGTTTTTGAATTCATGTTCTGCAGTAGGTCACGTTATCTCATGTTGTCTCCCTGGACTCCTAATGAGGGTAATGATGATCTTTGTCCTTGGCACCAGTCAGCAGGCAATACCCCTGCAGAAAGCTTGCCTTGCCAAACAGGCTGCTCTCAGAGCTGTTCATCTCCAGAACTGCATGTTCTGAGGGTCACAGGTGTCCAAGGCACAGGCTGGGTGTACTTTGCCATGCTATGAGCTGGGAGGGAGAAGAGGGATTGTGTAAAGCACACAGAATCTTGTACAAGCAGTGAGCTACCATTGCATCATTTTGGTCACTTTGTGAGTCAAAATCTTGAAATAATCCATATCAGGTGTCCTTTTAGTGTTTGAGGTGGGAACTGGGCATGGGTGGTGCTTCACATGATGAAGGAAAGGATTTGGAGAGGCATTTGATTATCAGGGACTTGCTTCAGGTGTGGGCATTCTGGGAGGGTGGGTGGGTTTCTTTTTGCTAATCTCACCAAGGGTGAGAGACTGATGCTCCCACACCAGAACTGCAGCCTCAGTGCCCCTGCTCAGAGCATCTCACTGTGTCTGGCACACATTTGAGCTCTTTGCATGTAGGTGGGCAGGCTTTGGGCACCACTTGAACTATGCAGGCTGGGTTTGATTGCAGCAAGGATGAGGCAGTGGGATTAGGCCACTGTACTCAAGAGAAGCTGGACTTTTGCAAAATCGTGTGTCAAGATTGAGTTGCACTCAGCAGAAGCTGGGGACAGAGCTGGTGAGGTGCATTGGCTTAACTGGACCCCAGATGCTTGTGTTTAACTCATTTCTCTTGCAGGACAAGTCTCTTTGGAGCAGGGGTTGGTGGCTGCAGGGCTATTCAAGCAGGGTGTGCTTCAGTTCTTTTGTTTTGAAGTGCTTGTGAGGAAGTGCAAGGAGTTCTTGTGGTTTGTTTTTTGCAGACATTTTGAGGTGAGGGAGGAGGACATGACCATGCAAGGGTGTGTTGCTGTATGGAAGCCAGGAACAGCAGGAGTGTGCTTCTGTTTGGGGTGGTGGAGAGGAGCTGTGTGCCTCTTGTGTGATTTGTGGAATGTGCCTCCAGGTCCATCTGTAAGCTTGGTGTGGCTTTGATAGGATCACCAAAGAGCCCAGCACAACATGAACTGATAAAGGTGTCTCAGTGGACTTGAGGAGGGGAAAAGCTGCTGAGAAAACTTTATTATTAAGTTCCATATACTTTGGAGAAAGATGGGTGAAAGCAGAATTGTCTGTTCTCTTGCTTAGTGGAGTGTCAGGCTTATGAAAGTCTGCTACAGAAACAACAGTTTAACCCAGCTAGCTCAGGTCCCCTGTGCTTCTCCTCCCTGTATGGCTGAAGATGAATCTGAACACGTAAGCAGGATGTTTAGTTTATCACATCCCTCTGCTCCTCCTGCCAAAATTCCACATCAGACATCTTAGTCAGTTTTCCACAGCAGTGGTTGTGACAGCCCTGGGCAAGGCTTGCATGGAGCTGCCAGAGAACAGAATGTGGCCTTTGCCTTCTGCTTGTACTGGGTGAGACGCAGAAACAGGATTACTGAGGAATCTTCTAATGCTTTTCTCTGCAGTTGGACACTGATAGTGGGCAAAGCAGGAGGAAGGCAGATGAGGGGCAGCAGTGCTTGGAAGTGTTCTCCATATGGCTGCTCTTGAATAATTCCATTCCTGCATCCTTAAGCATGGAGCAAGTGAGCCTGCAGTTGTACATATGGGAGGAAAGGTCAGTGTGGCCTTTTGATCTGTCTCCCTGCTAGCACAGCTCCACCTGGGCTGCCAGGCAAGTGCCTCAGTCTGCCTGTGCTTAGTGGTCACATCTGTGAGGCCCTTCAGATTGTGCAATTACTGGGGGTCCTTTAACCCTCCCCCCATCCCTTTTGGCAAAATAGGGCTATCAAAAGCATGCATAAGAAGACGGTCAGCATGCAGGCAAGCTCTCTGAGTCAGATCAAAACTTCGATTTGAATTAACTTTATTCTTGCTGCAAATAATTTTATCACAGAATAAAAACCTTTTTATTCTTCTTCTGTTGCCAGTGTCCTTTTTGTGTTCTGTTGCCTCTGTCCTTTTTGTTTACTACTGGACACTTGTTGATTTAAGAAGATTGTAAAATGTATCAGAGCAACATATTTAAGAGGAAATGTGTAAGCATGTGTGCAGCAATAAAGTAGTATATTTCACTGTATCTGTTCATGCTGTGGCTACTTTGTTACCAACTGACAACACCAGTGTGGCTTTATTACTGAAGGAACTTGGTGGGCTCCTTCAGCTTATTTTCCTGTACTTGTGTGCTGGTTTGGTTTGTCGGGATTTTTTGGTAGTGGGGGAAGGGCCCCAGGGTGGCTTCGGTAAGGAGCTGAGAAGCTCCACCTGGTCCAAAACCAGCGAAGGAGCCATTAGAGGGACAATAGATGCTCCTCGGCGATTAACATACGGAAGAACTGAGATAAGACTTGAGCAGGGCACGCAGCTAATGAGGAAGAGCTGAGCTGGAGAGGTGAAAGGCAGTGCTGGGATGAAGATCCCGTGGTTGGTGAGGAAAAGGGAGAAGGTGCCCAAGCAGAAGTTTCCTTGCAACTTACGTTGAGATGGCAGCTGTGCCCCTGCATTCATGGAGGAACGTGGTGGAACGTTCCCTGAAGGCGCCAGGAGGGGTGGACTTGGCCACTGGACTTGGATTTTGCTGCCAGGAGACTTTGATTATGCAGCTGTGGAAGACCCCGGCGCCAGGGGCGGTGAATGTTCCCGAAGCAGCTCGTGACTCTGGGCTGCCCGTGCTGGAGCAGCTCCGGACCTCGTGGGAAGGACTCATGAAGGAGAGGTTCGTGGAGGACTTTGTCCCATGGGAGGGACCCCACGGGGAAGCAGGGGAGGACTGTAAGGAATCCTTCTCCCTGAGGAGGAAGGAGAGGCAGAAACCACCAGCCTGTGAACTAACAAAACCCTCTCCCCTCTCCCCCTGTGCTACTGGGGGGAAGGAGGGAGAGAAACGGGGAACAATGTAATTTGGGCCCGGGAAGGAGGGAGGAGTGAGGGTAACATATGTAGGCACTGCTCTTTGTGTTGTCTGTGTCCTGTGTGCATTTGATTAGTGTGAAATTAATGTTTTTTCCTAAGTTGGGTCTGTTTTGCCAGTGACGTTAATGAGTGAGGAACCCTCCTTCCCCTTTGTCTTGGCCCATGAGCTACTAGTTGGCCTTTGTCCTCCCCATCCCAGTGTGTGTGTGTGGGGAGCTGAGTGAGCGGCCACGGGGCTGGTTCTTTGTTGTCGTGTTGGGCCCAAACCACAGCAACCTGGCCAAGGGCTGGCTCTGCACCTTGGTGTCCAAGCAGCGAGAAAAGTGTGCCTCTGCTGCCTTCCCTTGGTGACCCATTTGTACAGTCCTGCCAGAGCACGGATGTAAACCACTGGCTTGTTTTTACTGGCTCCTTGCTCCCAGGATTCTTCTGTTAATTTCATTAACAGCACCATGGGACAGGCTTGGTTAGTGTGGTGATAGTGTGTCAGGGAGGTTCAGAAGGTTGTTCTGGGCAGCCCCCAGCAGGTAAGTTGTCCCTACCTCTTGTCATCCTGTGTCTCTGTCATTGCTGACTGTTAATTTCAAGGATGGAGATTTCTCAGCCGGTGCCCTTAACTGCTCTTGACTTGTTCACTGCACTCAGGGAGCTCTGAAGCATGTGTTTTCTCCAAAACATTTCTGCTGAAGTGCTTGGGCAGCCCTTCATCTCCTTTGAGGACACAGATGCTTGTTTTCTCTTTTGCCTTCTCTGTCTGGGTGGCTGCAGTAGTTTTTGTGCCTGTGTGCAGCCCCTGTTGACTTAAGAGTGTGTCACTTTCAGGGAATGAGGATCTGAGCCTGTCCCTGTGGCACCATGTAGGGAAGTGCAATTTTTCTGGGGGGAAACTAGTAACATCTGAATGAGTGATGCTGTTGAAGGGGAGAACTGGGCCTATAAAAGTTCAAGTGCTAGTCAGGCCTTTGGGACTCAACAGTGCTTACAAAGGGTGTCGTCGTGCTGCGAGAGCCTGGAATAAACTCTGAGCCTCT